TTTTTCTTGACATTTTTGCTGTATCTTGTCATCTCTTTTACAATCCATTTCTACCTATGACAATAGCATGTTAGAGTTAAGGTGTTGAGCGAGGAAATTTCGGAATGATCAGGTATGAGCATTAATCAACGTTCGACAAGGTTCGTCATGATTAGTACAACCAGGCAAAGCGTTTCTATTTATTCATTCTAATCTTTTAATAAATTCTGTTGAGTTTTGGAGTGAATCTTTTAAAATGAACCTAGCCCATAAACGATGTATTCCTCTTACGAACTGAAGGAATCATTAGAAAAGAACCTGTTTTTTTATAACCAGATTTTTGAGGAGAAATGCACGTGCACTTAGCGAGAAACTCACCGGCATTGATTTAGAAATTCCCAAGTCTTACTGACTTGGACTAGAATGATGGGGACGAATCTGCCTGCGTGCTCTATTTCAATAATATGATTTGTAAAGGGCATCCTATTATTCAGCTCTGCTAGTATCCTGAGTTGAGTTAGTTTCAACAGTTGGTTACTGAGTGAAACTTAAAGGACATAAAACGTAATGAAAATGATTTTTCCACTTCATGTGTTCTTATGTTGACACTTGCAGCAAAAGTCACGAGATTTTTCTCTAAACATAGGGGAGGAGAATACAATAAGGGAGACTGCAATACGGCTTTGGCTCACTGAAAAGAGAAAGTAAAAGTATTCAACAAATCCCACATTGACAGATTTGAAAATGATGTCGATTTTATCATTTCTGATGAAGATTTGTTACTGTCAGTTTCGACGGCTGGTTGCGCAAAGCTATGGACATCTCAATGATGTGACCCCACTTTCGCGTTCTAGGTAATAAAATTCTAGTCAAGTGTTGATAATAGATCAGCTTTTACAATCGTGATTCAGGTGGCTGTCATACCTCCCTGAGGACTTTTGACGATCTGTTCTTATTAGCTCATTATGAATGTTCTCTAAATTGAATTGACCCCGGAGCCCAGCAGATATAGGATACAGTTTCCTATGAAAGATTTGACACCCACAAACTGAGGACTGCGCAGTAAAATCATCAAGACACCAAATTTTTTTCAATGGCAAAACGCTGCAAGTTTTAGATTTTTGTTTCTTCGGAAAAATGTTTACCCTGATTGGTCAGCAAAGAGAGTCATCACTGGACTGAATATTCTTTTTAAACAAGTGAGTCCTAATGTTACTCATGAATGTAATGCTCATGAATGTAATGTTTAATGCAATACTAAGATTTCGTAAACTTATCTCTAAAGATACTCTACTAAGATTGTATGAGACTTTTATTATGCCACATTTTAACTATTGTTCGTCTGTGTGGCACTTTTGTGGTGAGCGTAGTACTGAGAAGATAGGTATTTTAAACAAGCGAATTCTTAGAATTATCTTGCAGGATTATAATTCTCCCTATGACTCTCTTCTTAGCAAAGTTAACTCCAAATCTCTGTATAAAAGACGCCTTCAGACTTTCTTAATTATATTGTACAAGAGCTTGTTTTTTAACTGCTATCCAGGCTATCTAAGGAATATGTTTAGTTTCCGGTCTGTGTCCTATAAATCTACGTGGAAATTATATTTTGTCTCTACCGTCTACAAAAACTACTACTTATGGTCTTCACTCCTTTTCATATATGGCTTCAAAACTATGGAACTCTCTTCCGGACTCTTTTAGAACGTCTGACTTTTCTGATTTCAAGCGCAAGATTCTACAGTATGACTCTTTCTCATAGTTAAATTTTAGAATGTTACAATTTTATATTTTACATTTTAGTAGTATTTAGAATTATACTTGTAACTCGAAGATACTAGCTTATCCTTTAGCTACTCCAAATTCGAGATTAAATAAAGTATATGTATGTATGTATGAAATCATTGTAAAAGAAGAAATTCGAGAGAGTTTTTTTTGCAAAAAATGGGCTAAACTACGTTAGGATTCAATTTTGCTTCAGACTTTGCAATTCCTTTAATAACGGTACTCTGGCTAATGGATTACGGCTCCTGTTCACTACTAAATAAAATCACGCCGAGATTGGGAGGATTTTATAATAGAACCCAAGAGAGACGAGAGAGATATGATATCATGCTGAGGTCAATATCCATGTCAACTACCTTTACTACTTTGCAGTTTGATTTATCACGCCTTTCTGTTTCTGCGTTTTTTTTCCCTTCGATCAAAATCTTACATTGGAAGGTCATTGATGCAAACAGAAAGCTCTGCCTCCCAACGTCACGAAACAGAACAACACGACTTTGATAAAAAGTAAAAATTTCAGAATTTTATTTGGTAAACTTATTACATTTTGACTAAAAATTTGTTAGCCTTGTAACGGATAAAGCCAAATCAGACAAATAAGGGGAAAAATCAAACCATAGGAATGCAACAAGCAATCTGAAAGTTGACCTGTGATTCTTGAATTTTCTCGATCAGATTTGACGAAAAAATCTGGATGTCTAAGGAGTGAATAAAATAAGGTGTCTTTTACTGAGAAATAAGGAGAATCTAGTTATAAAAACAGGCCTTATTTTTAAAGGTGATTTCAAATTTAACGAACTGAAGTTATATTCTCCCCTAGCTAAAATTTGTCTGTGTGTCAGTGATGAGGCAATAATCCAACACCACTGACAGCACATCAATCAACATCTCAGCACCTGTATTCAATATATGTCAGTGGATCTTGTGTTCTGCTAATGAAATTAACTTCGTTACTTTTGGGGAAGACATTGACTTCATTATAAAAGACTTCAAGGTGACCTTCATCGATATAATTTACCGCGCACAGGGTCAAATGTGTTATTTTCCCGTTTCATAAGTGCCTGCTTTTCGTTCGCAAATTGGGTGTCTACTAGTGTTAGGGAACAGGTACAAAAAGCGCACCAATCCAGTTTGTTGCCGGAAAAATTGTTAACGTGAACGCAAAAATACGTCCTTTGCTTTTGAAATGAGTGCCTAGACGTAGAATGCTCTTCGTTAGTATCTCCTGCTTGTCTTTGCCTAAATTAGTCCAAGAAGAAAAGAACTAAAATCCTATCAGTAATCACGATAATCGTTTCCCATCAGGAGTTTTATTTTTTTTTTTTTTCAGTTTCGGATGTATCAATAGTGAGGTTTGTAAGTCTGGTGCATTAACTTAAAATTTAAACTCCTTACCGGCAGAAGACATTGTAGTTAACAATTTTTGAGCCTGTTGTGTAAGCTGTGTTCAAGGCAAACTTCTCTTTACATTTGTTTTTACATTCGGAAATTGAAGGCATATGACTCAGCAGCACCTAAAACTTTGAGTCCATAAAGTATAAAAAAAAATTTAAAAAGGGTGATTATTTAGTACAACGGCAGCGAAATCCAACAAACTTTCTTGTGGACATTCCGTATACAACGACCTCAGTCAGAACCGAGAGTGTCGCTAAAAACTTACAGAGAATTAAATCCTTACCCCACTCCTGTAGCTATTTTGTTAATGAGATTCTACCCCCTCCCCATGTATCCTTATGTAGAACTGTAGTCCCGAGATATTTGCGCCTGCAAATAATAACCAGTTCAAAACCTACTTACAATAGATTAAAAATTCTCAATTTAGCTCACATAAACAGTTCAGCCACAGAGGATTTCTTAATAAGAGTCAAGGACATTTTCTTAACGGAACTGCGCTGTGTTTTGCGCTCAATATACAATATTTTGAATTTTAAACTTAAGTGCTTACTTGAAATGGTAACTATTATGCTCTTAAACAAAACTTACAATATTCTTTCATAGGCAAAAATGCAAAGTCTGAGATCAACCTTATTTTTTTTAGAACAAACGGTAATCAAAAGCATAGGTCTCTTAGAGGCTGGACTAATTAATTATTTTTGCCATGAGCATGTAATCATTATAGGGAAGAAGTGTGCAAGTTTATGTATGAGTTGCCGTTTATTCGATCGCTTTGTGTGATTTAGAACTAGTACGCCTGCAGTGTTACTAAGTTTAAATTCTTTCTAGTCAGTGATTGTCAGTTATTCGCTTTCGTGCACTGAACACAGTACATGAAACAAAAACGTTATTCTAAAAGTAAATTTTACGAAACACTTCTATCTTTAACTCGTGACTAACAAATAACACTGGGAATATATATATATTTACCAATGTTCAAACCGAGTGCTTAATTCAAAAGAAGAACACCAACCTTATTTTTGCCCTTCATTGCCGCTAAAAACACAGAAACCAACGGATTTTCCGACGGCATAAATTGCGGACGCCGCAAGATCGATGTTTTGTTTTGTACAATTAAAGTAATGATTTCCTAACCTGAGAAATCTAATACCTGTGACCTATCCTTTCAAAAAGAAGTTGAATTGCCAGTCCTCTTTCATTTAAAAAGTGACGATAGATGTTTCCTTAACACAATTGACTATTCTTAGCAAAGATGCAAATTACACCCTTTCTTGAGACGTCCCACAAAGGAATTTTTACAGGTTAGATTCGGCTGCTATCGCGATGAAAGGTGTTAATGTTTGAGCAACACAGTTTTGATTTCAGGCAAAGTAAATGATTCGAAAGTTTACTTGAGAGTCAAGAATCCAAACTTTCATAATGATATCCTCTTTACCTATGACGGTTCGCGATAATCAGGGGCGTAGCTTGATTTTTGTAAAGGCGGGGGAGTGTGAGGGGATTTAAAGTTGCGACTTTCGGCTCACCTTGCATGGAATGGCTAATGCTGCTGCGCCTTCCCTGTAAATCAGCAGTTTTGTATCTGAATGTTATATGCGTTGTATCATGGATATTCTTCGGACTTGTGCGTTTTCTCAAACCTGAATTACAGCATTTTTCAGTTGAATTCGAAAACGCTCTTAGAGGGGTGTTCACAGCACCCCAGGAATCCTCCACGTTACACCCCTACCCTTTTAAAAACAAATTGTTCGTCTTTAGTATTAAAAACTCCTTTTTTGACGGTAGGAAGACGGCACAAGTTTTAAGCTTCTTTATCGGAAAGTACAAAGAGCAATCATAACAACTAAGTTTTAAAAATGAGCTTTGTTAATTTCTGACGTTGCAATCACCCATAACACGGAGAAAGCTAAAACAAAAGAAATAAAAATTAACAAATAAGCAACTAAACAGATCAAAAATTAAAAAACTCAAAAAAGAAAGAGAGACGAATTTGCAATCCGAAGCAATGGACACAATGAACGCCATGTCACAGCAACCCAGTGGCCAAAAAGTACTTTTTCTAAAAGTATCAAGACTGGATTCTCTCAGTGAAAATTGTTCAATTAAGGTAAAATCTTCTTCTGTTCCTCCGTGAACATTACCGAGACTTGTAATTTTTCTGTTTTTTTTTTTTTCGCTTTAAACAAATGATATAGAAAGTAACATATAACTAAGCTGAAAGAAAACTTTAGAGCTGGAAGTTGTTCCGTCTTTTCCAAAGCTCATCCTCTATATATTGCGGTTATGCATTGTTAGAAAATCTTGAACCTGATAAACAAACTGGAGAAACTCAGGCAGTTTGGAGGCGATCATTTCCGGTTCCCAGTCTTTACCAGCGAGAGCACGGTCCCACTCTTCTCGACCAAGGTGGAGATCAGTCTGAAAACAAGAAAATACGTGAAACGATATATGCGCATCAAAATATGTACTGAATAACTACATATAAAAATTCTTCATTCTAAGTCATCACCGTTCAGCACAAATGGGCTGCGCGTCTCAGTAAAAGTACATATATGGACATCTCTTCGATTTGGATGCGTAAATCAGTCGTCGCCAGCAGAGTATAAATGCCGGGGCTGGGGAGGCTATAAAAAACTGACCGCCAATTACCTGTCAG